TTGTTCATTATTGTTGTCTGTACGTTGGTGTCAAGCGGTGCAGCGGATGGCCTGCACCGCATTCCTCTGAAGCGCCTAAATGAATTCGAGGAGGACGCTCACCACGAACACTTACACCCATCACCGCAGACCTTAACTAAAGACACAGATTTTATCTCCATGGATAACTATTTAGGCATCCAGTTCTACGGCACCATTTATGTGGGCACCCCCGCGAAGGAGTTCAAAGTTGTATTCGACACCGGCAGCAGCGAAATGTGGCTTCCCACTGAAAAAACGAATATGTGCGGCTCAAAGCAATGCTACAGCTCACAGAAGAGTACCAGTTCAACTCCAGATGGGCGTGAGTTCTCTGCAAAATATCTTAGCGGTTCTGTAGCGGGTGTTTTCGTAAAGGATACGGTCCGCCTTGGTTCGTTCTCCACCGAACAGATCTTTGCAGAGGTGGACGATGTTTCTGGGCTAGGCAAAATGTACGTCTTTTTAGGGTGGGATGGCATCATGGGGATGGCATTACCTTCCCTCTCTAAGTACAACATTAGACCCACGATATTTTCGCTGTTTGACGATAACACGAACCTGGCAAAACAGTTCGCCTTTTATTTGCCTAAGGATCCGGATATGGAGGGTGAGCTTGTACTCGGTGGGTATGATCCTGACCATTTTTATGATGACCTCATTTCTGTAAAGCTCACATCTGACACTCACTGGACCTTCGACATCACCTCTGTGAAGTTTGGCATCACCGAGATTAGCGGCAAGGTAGCGGGTGCTATTGACTCAGGTTCCTCATTTATTTTTGTCCCGAAAGAGGCTTTTGATCAAATTGTCGAAACCACCGGCGCTAAAAATGAAGATGGTTTATATATTGTGGAGCGTCAGTATTTGCCCATTCTTCCGAGTATTGCGCTGGAAATTGACGGTACGCAATGGATTTTATCTGGTGAGGATTATACTCTAGACTCAGAAGATGGAAAATGCTTCCTTGGAATGCTACCAATTACCGGTCATCTTCCGAATGGAAAGTCTTGGATTTTCGGACACGTTTTTCTCAAGCATATCTACACCGTTTTCGACGCTGATAAGTCCACACTGAGTTTTGCTTATGCTAAATACTTGAGCGAACAATAAATATAATTTCCGAGGTGATTATGGAATTAAAACAGAACTAGAATTCGAGGAATAATAATAATTTATTATATATATCTAAACTTCAAATATGTTTTTCAAACATCTAGAAGAGGTGACGTGATCTTTAAAGCTTTTCCAAATATTGCATAAATATAAAATTCGATATCTCTATATATATGTATGCTTTAGATTTTTTGGAAAATGGTAAAAATAATTTATACAGATATATGTGTAATTAAAAAGTGAAAGAAACATGCCTGCATTTTTTATTATGAACTGAGTATTAATTTATATAACAATGAAAAAATATTATATAAAAAGCTTAGCTCTATGGAAGTAAAATATAGGGAAATAAAGATTCCTAACTGTTGCCTTACATTACCGCTTTCCATGCAGTGCTATTCTAAACAAGTGAATCCTGTGTGTTGGCTCCTTTTCCATTTTTAAGTAGCGTAAGATGGTAGTTGTCGCTAGGATAGGGTTCACATTATGGGATGGGGTGCCGCCGCTTCAGCTGGGCTGAGTACTGGAGTATGCGGAATCTGTAAAGGGACTTTTAGAATATAACGTATATCGCAATTGAACTCAGGCGACGGATCGTTGTCCACTTCTTATCAGGCCATTGATGACGTCAAAGTGGGGCGGATTTGTTGATGGGGCGAAGGACGGATTCATTAGCAAAGTATGAGGATTTCGGGGAGATTCTCATCCTGATACGGTCCCGGACACGTCACCACATACCAACGGAAGGAGCGAACACCGGTATGGAAAAAAATAAAACCATTATTAATTTATGTGGATGAATGTTAAACATTCGTTGATTTATGTGATACGTGTCCGACACTATTGCTCTCGTGATGTCTACTATTACAGTGTTATTGACGGATTAATCTGGAATATTGAACAAAGCAGTATCGCAGGATGTCACGATACTTGATGCATGCACCTACACCTATGCATACGCGCACATCTCACACCCTTTGTGTTCAGTTTTATTCCTTATGTTTAGAATTGCTTGATGTATTCCTTTGTGTGCGATCCTGACTATACGGGCGATGCCATCACGTTATGCTTTATATAAGTTTACGAGGTCCCCAATGGTTTTTGCTTCTATTATTATTATTCTGTTTCTTTAGGGTGCGTACCCTCACTTCAACGTAAGTGTGACCATTATTATTCTTCCCTTTACATTTCCCAACTCTACCGTTCTTAAGGTGGAGGAAAGCCATGACACGGAATCCAGGGTAGCGGATTTTGTTTATTCAGCCGCATTATTGTAGGCGCTTCTAGTCTGCCCACAAAGACAATGGAGGTCAGTATGCTTACCGTTCCTCGGTCTTTCCAGTATGATAGTGCCCTCTCGTTATGCTTTTCCTAACACAGTGGTTAGGACCATAGCGGTCGCAGGGATGAACTCTATTTCCTTCTTCCGACACCCGGATTTAGAGTCTTTCAAAAGCATTTAATGGGAACAACTGGGGTGACGAGCCGTCTAACGACAGACCTTGGATACTCGCCGTCCACTGATCGAGTATCTCTTCTAGCGATGCAGTCGTTTTCAGGGGGATCGCTGCCTCTGTGCTACCTTCCTTTCCTATTTGATCTCCCCCCCACGGCGAAGGTTGGAGGCACCATTCTGAACCTCCTGAAATTCGGCGAAGATCCCGTGTTCGTTTTAGACTCTCTTCTTCATGCATGGCGAGGGAGGGAGAGGGGAGGGGCCATTATAGGACGATCCGAGAGGGCAGACACGTGGGGATTGTACTTACCACTACATTCAGCTAGAATAAATCGGATGGCGGTTCAATGATCTTCCCTTTCCGTCTTCTTAAATGCATGCCGATTGGTATTCATTACTGTGTGAATGCGGGTGATGTGAAATGGATTCCCGTCGAACCCCCTTCGCCCTCATTCATCGCAGTATTTAAAGCATTACCTACCGCTATTTTATCGATAGCTCTGAAATGGGCCCGGTGTTTTCGACCGAATAAATGCATTGAACCATTATGTTGAATCCGAGCGCATCGTTCAGGTTTATTCCACCGGTATGGATAGCGTTAACGGAAGGCCCCACAGGTGTGCCGGGTGAGGGGAATAACTGGGAACCCGATGTAACCGAACAGAGACACGGTTGTCTCCCTGTATCCGATAGATTGCGTTATGGGTGCGCATGTGTTCAGAGGGAAGGGTCATCGGTCTGCTTTACACCTCTCAAGGTTCTTGGCTGTACAGATGGGTATATGCACAAGTTTGCCCTCCCACATTCGCAGGTCACTGATGAAGCAGGGAGGGAGAAGTCTGTGTGTGAATGGACCAGAAGCACGGCGTCGCACCGAGCCTAGAAAATCCTTGTGAAAAAGCTAAGCGGAGGCGAATGTCGTGCTGAATCCTTTTGAACCACTAGGGCATAGTCGTCCTGAGCCTCAAAGGCTGGC